TTTTCATCGTGTTTATTTTTCACTATTCACACAGTACTTGTATTAAATAAACAAAGAACAATCGCTCTGCAAATAAAAGTACTTAGGTGGGGAGAGAAAGAAGAGGACCTGAGGTTCTAGCACCCCCGGCCCCCCTCTCTCCCCCCCCACCACACACCCTCTGACATTACCCCCTCCCCACCCCCACTCGACTTTCTCCTCTTGCTTCTTCCAGCTCTCAAACTAGGAGGTTCTAAGAAGGAATCCACAAAAAGCAAACACACCCATGCACACACGCACACACACACACGTGTGTGAGTGTTTTAAAAATATGTCCTGTGTGTACGTGTTGCTGATGAGTTGAAAACGGACGGCGCTAACTTGGCCTGGGAGCAAAGGTCCCTGCAACTGTATCTTCGCAGAGCGCCTGGAACCTGGGCGCAGCCGGCTGCCAGCAGCCCCATCGCCATAGCAATGCGGATGCTCGGCGTGGATGTACCAGAAAAGCAGTAGTTTGAATTTCAAAGAACCTGCTTTTGAACTTCTCCCCCGCCTGACTGGGCACTTGCGTTGGACGTGAATGTGTGCTCTGGAGTGTTTGTGTGTGTCCGTGGGTGTGTGTGGGGGGGGGGGGTTCAGAGAGGTTTTGTTCACAGAGAGGAAGTGCGCAGGTAACCCCAGGGGCTTTCTTTCCGCTGTGGCTCCCTTTCCCCCCCCCCCCACCTTTGTGGTGAGGTGTGGTGTTTTGGTACCTTAAGGGTTGGATGGGTGAGGGGAGGGACAGGGCACCGAATGGAAATAGTAATAAGTGTCTGTATTGTTTGGTTTGCCTTGTGATCAGACTTCCTCTAAGGAAATCCCTTGGGAAACCAGATTGTCTTTCCTGCTCCCTTCCCAGGGGTTTTATTTCCTAACCAAACTGAGATTAAAACAAAACAAAACAAAAAAAAACCCTGGTGGCTAGCATCTCTCCTCCTGCTTCATAGCCTAAAGATGATAAATAAAACCACACCTCAAAGCTTCCGGTGTGAAAGACATCAATTTTAAGAACCTAATACAAATATGTTTGTAGGTAGTTGGGCTGTACTGCCAAGGCCTATTGCCACCCTCCCCCCTTTTTTCCCCTTCAAGTCCAAAACGCTGTGACACTTGTGTGGCCATCTCCAACTCAAGAATGATTCTCACCCTCAAGCTCCTTCTCAGAACCTTTGCTCTTAGGCGCATTAGCTTTACCAAGAATAACTGAATGGGGAAAATATATAACTTCCAAATAATCATGTGTTTGAAGATTCTCCCTGCCCAGAAAACAAAGGTAGAGGGTTTAAAATGTTTGCTAGGGCCACGTTTTGCTAGGGAAGATGAAGTCTTTGATGATAGCCAACTTAGTGTCAATAAGTGGCTTTCTTTGAGACATATTCAGATGGGAACGTCTTGCTTGCCAATTGCCATAGAAATCTTAACACACCATGAAGATTGTCCAAGCGCCAAGCCTTCCGTTCTGGACTAAATTACTTTGAAGTGGCGCAGGACGAGCAGTGGTCAATTTTAACTCTATAGACTGGACAGAGAAGGCTGGGAGTGGGAGATTGTGCGTTTTAAAGCAGAAAATAAGAAGGGGAAACTTGTTTTATACACTCTATACAAGGTTCTGCTCATTGTCAGATATCTTTTATCTTTTATATTTCCCATGAATGATTCATGTCTTGGTGGCTTTGTGTCACCCTCCTTTTCACAAGAAACTTCATTAGAGAGCTATAAGTTTTCCCATTGATTGGAGCCCTCATTTACGAGTGTTTTCCCCCCCTTCGTGTGCTGGTTATTGTCATCTGGCTTAAAACAACTCTTGGCAACCTGTTTCACCTCTACTACATTTAATAAACCTGACTTCTAAAAGCCACTATAACCTTTTGGAGAAATGCGTATTGACATTGTTTTTAACTACTCGCCTTTTATCAGTTTTGCACTAGGTAACAAAAACAAGCAAACGCTCAGCCTGGTTAATGTGCCTAGCCAAATTCAGAGATTTAAGCCACTTGAATATTTTGTTGCCACAAATCTAATTCTCCTAAACATCTGCCCATACATGCTCAGTCTAAGTTCCTTCTAGTCACTCATTTCCAAAATAAATTTCTTTTTGATCTTCCCGCATGCCCTGTAAGATCATTTGATCCCCACTACCCAATTTCTCTATCCATTATCAACTCCTTACCAAGATTGCTTTTACCTTCTTTGTTTGGAAGCTTCTCACTGTCTCTCCATCTTTTCTTAATTATTTTTTACTTTAGAGGTTAGGCACCAAAGATATGCTAACATTCTTTTTAGGTTTTTTTTACTGATTACAATCACTAAGCATATTATTGACTTCAACAAATGAATGCAATAACCCCTGAGATTTGTTCTTCTATAAATGCAACCTGAAGGGATTAGTCTTCATAAATACCTGGTACTTTTCTAGATTACAATGTAAGTTAAGCCAAGCTATAAAAATATTTTATTGCATGAGAAAAGTCTAAGCGGTCAAGGGAGAACAAGCTAATGTTCACTACCTTAGCAACTGCTGTTGTAAAAGAATGACAGATATGCCACTAGGTAAAATGTACCAATACGTAGGAAGAATACCTTTATTACATTTGTTACTTCATAATCATTCTTGCCTCCTTTCTACTGGAGGTACACTTTATGTGTATCAGGAACCAATAAATCTGTGGGAGAATTAACCTATGCATGGCAAAAATACATAAAATACATAATCCTTTGTTTCATAATAAATAAACCTGTAGCATAATAAAGAATAGTGCAAACTACCATTGAAAAAGTTGTATAAATAAAACAACTCATTATACATCAGGAATTACTTTGTCCTACTAAGTTTAACGATACATAAATTATCCACCCAATATTCATACCTTATCTTTTTTGAGGTGAAAGGACTTTGCAAGTGAATAATATAAAAATCAAATAAACTTTTAAAATGTAGAATCATTTGATATTCAAGTTGTAGGTCTTTTTCTTCATGAAGGAGGGTCTGCATGTTTCATATTTACTGCAACAATCTGAAGACAACATAGGCTCTGCAAGTGACAGCACCATGCACTGTACTAGTAATATTTCTATCAAAACTCTACTTAATCTCATGAACACATGAAAAAGACATGCAGGAAGAGTCTTAATTCTTCACATTACATTGTTCATTCAAGTAAGCTTAAAAATATATTTTTTTCCCATTTTCTTCCTATTTTTTTAAATAAACCATGGGCCATAAATGACAATCTTTCACCAAAATTTATAATATAACTCTTTGGTGTGCTTTGAACTCTTCCAGGAAAAAAAATGATGTCTAAAAATAAATTAATTCTGCTGTACAAATAAAAGTGTTCACATACAAGTTATTAACAATGACAAGACTACATCAACCACTCATAGCACACAAAACAAATTTCTACAAACCCTGGGGAGGGGGTGTCTTCAGGGTCTCTGAGGATAAATTAGTGCTCTTTAGTATATTTGTATGATGTCTCTGATGGACTACATTTTGCACAGGAGATGTGTTGTACCAACCGAAAATAAATTGACTAAGAGTTATTGTCCTAGGTCCTTGACCTTTTTTATCCTAGCTTGACAGCTCTGGCAAAGGTCACACATTCATCAGTGTTTGGTGGTAACTATAAACCTTTTAAAAATTTAAATATGTATAGCAATTCCCTCCCCTCTTTTAATGTAAATCATATACTCCACACTGTCATTGTAAAATAGAGGAGAATTCAGTGCTCAGTGCACAGGTGGAAGAAAATGCACTAAAATGGAGTTCCAGGCATCAAAAAAATAAAGATTTTTTTAAAGGTTGATACAGTAGTACAAAAGAGGGGTTTTGCCTGTTTAAAAAAAAAAATAGCTTGTCCAAATAGGCATGATGCCATCTTCACATCTCCTTAGAACTTGACTGTGAATGCTGGCATCCCAAAAATCTTATGACCGAAAACAATCTCTATTACCCAAGAAGTTTGACACTGGTAGGCAGCATTTTTAGTTTTGAATTAAAAAAAAAAAAAAAAAACCCAAATAGAAAAAAAAAACCACAATTTCATAAAAACACCAGAGGGAAAAGCAAGCACTTGAATTTCTTGTACATTATAAAAGGTCACAGTTTCATAGTTGTCTATGCAGCAGCTGTTTTACTCTCCATTTCTGCTCAAACAATCACAGTAGCACAGTATATGGAGATATGTTAAGGTTGCTGCCCTGTTGTTTGTTTTTTAAGTCATATGAGGGTATTGAAGAAATAATCCTGTATAAAAATACCATGTTAATGTGAGATCAGTAATAAGAACATGGAAATTAAACTGTAAATATTAGAACTGAAAGAGATTTTTACAAATAATTTTGGACACAGGCACAGTCCAGGATCTGTTGGCAATGCAGCAAGTGTGTTTTACAATCAAGAGGCCTTTGAACAAATGAGGGCCCAACAAGAAGGCTTAAAAGCAGCCCATGTTATGATGTCAAAGGCATCCAAGAGGCATTCTGGGAAAGGCAGAGGGGCTGGATAAGTTCTGACTTAATCTTTTTCCTCCCATATATATGTATAGCATTGGTAAGTGTGTGTATCTTCACCAATCTCTCCATTTGTTTTCCTTGGTACAATTTGCCCCTCAGACCCTATCCCTCTGTTGTGTACAAGTCCAGCTTGGTTGCGCTTTATTTCTTATTACTATTTTTCTTTCTTTCTTTTGGAGGTACTGAAGATGGAACCCAGGGCCTCACACATGATAAGAAAGCACTCTACCACTGAGCTACATCCCCAGCCCTGTTTGTTTTTTAAGGACAGGGGGGAAAAGCCCAAATATCTTAATTAAATTAATTAAATGTACAAACACCATAGGGTTTCATACTGAATAAATAGGGCTAATTAGACCCGGTGGCAAGCCTGAGTCATGAGTTTGTCTCAGGCTCAGCTTTGTCCCAGGTTAGGATATGGTCCAAGGACTTGTATTTATTATTTCACGTATTAATACAAAGAAATTCTAATGTATCGTCCGCACAGCTTCAGGGTTCCCATACATTTCCTCATCTTCAGACTCAGACGTGGTTCCATTGCTGGAAGGTGTGTGGAGGTGACTGGGGGCCCCCGTGGCCTGGCAAACGTACCACTCGTTGAGGTTGGTCACTTGAGGAGACAGAGTGCTGGAGCGACTCCTGGCTGGATCTAGCACAGGTGACAAGGGAGCACCCACGGGAGTCCCCACTGCTGAGTAGGCGAGAGTTCCTGGAGAAGGTGGGGGGGACTTGCAGTGAATCTTCATGTGCTTCCTCAGGGAGCTTGGGTGAGTGTAGGACTTGTCACAGCCTCGGATCTTACAGTAATAGGGCTTATCACTGGTATGCACATGGGAGTGTTTCTTTCGATCACTGCTATTGGCAAACTTCCTGTCACAGCCATCGAATTCACATTTGAAAGGCTTTTCCCCTGCAACAAAACACAGGAAAGGTTAACAATGGCTTTCCAGAGACTTTTCTCTTGAGAGAAATCTTGGAGACAGGGGGGATGTATTTTCCCATTTTCCTGAATAACAACTCCCAGCCTTAGCCTCAGTCCTATTCCTATGTTTCAGGACACAGGATGTAAAGGGGAAAAGATACTGGAAGGAGAGAGCTGTGTCCACTGGTTTGGTGGCTTTTTTGGTCCTGAATTATAATGGAGGAACCAGATGCTAGCCTCTGGAGAGACACAGGGATCAGAATGAAATTCCCTAAGTAGAATAAGGTAGAATAAGGTGCAAGATATGTGCCACCAAAGCCCACCTAGGACCCCGATTCTCCCCCCACCCCACTCCCTATAGGGTCTGAACACCCAAAAATACAAGTAGAAGATCCATCCTGTCAACACAAACACTAATGAAATGATACTGTCAAAGCCATGTGTAGGGGTAAGAATCTAAGAAAAAAAGAAAAAGAAAAATACTCATACTGAATTAACAGTGATCTTGGATACAGTAAAATGAAAATGATGGCATTTGTATCAGAGTATTCCTAGAATTTCACTGATGGAAAGAAACAGCAGGGAAAGGGTATAGAATTCAAAAAGGAAGGAAAGAAACCAAACACTACTGTCTTTCAAAATAAAGGCACCTGTGAAACACACAATCCCCCTACAAGATTTTACAAGGCTGGCAGGGTGGAGAATAGGCTGCTGGCCTCTGCATTCCATCAGCTTCCTTCGCAACTCACAGGACCATGAAGAACATGGCAGAACAGAATCTGAACAGACATTAGTCAAGATCACAACCTCAGCAGAACCTGCCATTGATTTGTGCTCTGAGAAAACTTATTTGGATAGCTTTCTCCATTGCTTAATAGTAATAATTATAAACATACAAATCAGAATAAGATAACTAAAATAATAAAAAAAAATACATCTTTTGGCCTATCACTTCTTTAAGCTGGCCTGACCAATCCAGGTACACAATGCCTTAAACACAAGGTCACTTGTCCAGGAAGTTTAAATGCTTAGAAAGACAACTAAAAAAAATCTAGCCATACTACATCTTGGTGTTAAGAAAACAAGAAGGGAAAACATCAGATAAAAGTATAACTAAGTTTCCTCTCTCATCTTGGTATCTATGACTTTGATGTGTTTAACTCCATAATTGAATACATGCTATTGTATAATATTTCCCTTTTACACTTAGATCTTAAAAATCAACAGCTGTTCTGGTGATATGCTAAGTAAGGTATTTTGCTTTGTGTAGATTACTTATTTTTTTAAGACTATTAAGAGATGGTAATGTATATAAATTTCTGTGAATTTTCTCATTCCCTACAGATTCTATTGGAGTCTTTTAAAAAAATTCACTGGCAACTGTTTAAATGTCATTGTTAGCACATCTGAAAACATTGATACTTGTCATGCAACTTTCCCTATCTGTAAATATTTTAACCTAAATTAATATATTACTCTATAACTAGTAGGAAAATTCAGTAATAATCACAACTTTTGAAAATTTTTAGATGAGCTGAAACAAGCATAATCCTCATAAAAATATCAGTGATTTGTTTTCATTTCTGCATTACCCTTTTAAGTTGAGATAACACTAATTTAACATAGCATTAAAAAAATCTAACTAGTTTTCTTCAATGAAGCTTAAACGCTGTTATTCACTCTGCAAATGTGCAATGTTGTTTTCAATTCCAAACTACATATCCCAATTGGGGAGGAAAAAAAACCCAAAACCAAAAAAAAAAAAAAAAAAAAAAACACTGAACATTATTGTTTGCTCCACTGCAAAAGAGAAAGAGTAGCAAATAGGACCCTGCAAAGCAAGACGGGAAAAGGTGGAAACTAGGGACTGGGGAAAGGAGAAAAGGAAGTATGCTAGAATGACCCACGTGTTGTTTCTGAGGCCTGTGGTGGTGGGCACCTAGCACATCCCATCTAGCACCAGTTGTTTACATCTCAGACACTGACAGGAGTATTTAGTTTTGAACACTCAGTGCCATGTGGATACCGCCCACTTCCTTCCAGACTCTGGCCCAGGGGCTGGTTATAAACGCAAGGGAGGGCACGTGGGTCAGGCAACGGGCCTTGGTGAGTGGGCCGGGGATTAGTCCTTTGATCAGTCTGTTCTGAGATCCAGCTAACTCCCAAAAAGGGAGGGAGGGAAGTCGAAGATGGATCCTTTCTGGACATCATACCTAATACACAAGCAGCCCAGAGACGGCCCCAAATGCCAGGTGCCAGGTGTGAGCTTGACCCAGAGGTACCCGCACCCTTCCCAGGGGAACCCCACATGCCTTCACCAGGCCGCCTGGCCGCTACAAGGGGTGGGACCGGGAAAGGCAGCCAATAGTGCGAAGTGGAACGAGAAGACGAAGCCGCCGCAGCTCCCCCTCTACCACGCCGGCCCTCCGGGGCACAGGGCCCGGGCGGCCGGTCTCTCGGGGAGGGAAGGCCTGGACAGCAGGCTGGGGAAGGTCCGCTTTCCTCCCCCGGCCGCAGGCCGCATGCGGGGCACTCGCCGCCCGCTCCCGTGGCCTTCCTCGGTCCGTCGCGAGGCGCTGGTTACCGAGGAAGCAGCCGGCCCACTCGGCCTGGGCGCTTTTAGGAGGACCTCGTGGGTTTTCCTTTTGGAAAAGCCATCAAGGCAGATTAACCCAATTAGAAAATGGTGGATCCCACGGAAACGCCAGGCTTCCGCCGGTGCCGTACGTTTGCACCTACCCGGGAGGTGTCGGTCCACTAGGAGCAAGGCCGCGACAGCCCGCGGTCACCCCGGTGCGGTGGCCCCCGCCAAGCCCCTACCACCCCCGGGTGGCCGCAGGCCGGGCGCGGAGGCCCCTCGTCCCCGGCTGCCGGCTCGCCGCGACCGCGCCGATAAATCAGTCAAGTGATTACTAAATGTAAACTCCAGTTCCTTAAGCATCCTCCGAGGAGTCATATTGTAGAACCTATAAATCCCGCCCGCGCCAGCGCTCGGCAGCGCTGCAGTCCGGCGCGATCGCTGTCCTAGGCCGCACGAGACGCACCGCGCCACTGCTCCGCCCCAGCTTCGGGCACGGTACCCCCTCCCCCCAAGCAAGGCATTGAACATAGTGGGAAGGTCTCCCCCAATTTACAAGGCGGGTAGGCCTCCGCGATCGCGGGAGGAACCGCTGTCCTCAGCAGGACAGAGGCCAACTTCCCCAGCACACTCGGGCCATCCGGACGTAGCCACGGCACGTGCCGGTGTGCAAATAAAGTGGGAGGGTGCAAGGTGAGCGAGGACATGGTGTCACAGGAATGTATGCACTAGGGCATGATGGGGGGGAATAAGTGCACCTAGAGGTGTAGGAGAGGGGTGGGTGGAGGTAGGCCGTCTCCCGAGGCCTATGCAGGGTCTCGCCTCTGGCCTTCTACAGCCCGCCTGGGGGACACACGGACCCCACGCCCCGGAGGGGCCACATCCAGCGGCCTCGATGCCGCAGCAAACCCCACGTGCCCCTCCCACAGCCGCGGTCCTCCATGCAGCACCAGGCGGGGACCTGCAGCCGGTGGGTAGGCAGGCGGCGCCAGGGCGACCCCAGCCCGGGGTGGGGGGAGGGACCCTTCCCCATGGCCCTCCCCGATCTCCCAGGGCCGGGCGGATGGGGGGGCTGCCGACCGTCCTGGGCGCCTTCCTGCTCCTGCTTCTGCTGCTTCTGCTCCCGGGTGGCGGCGGCGGCGGCGGCTGGAGCGCGTGGCCGGTCCCGGCGGAGGGGCTGCGGGCGCGCTGGAGACTCCGCCGTGTGGGAAGCCAGCACCGGCAGGCCCCTGTGTATGCTATCGAATTACTTATTCATAGAAAAAAAAAAAAAGGAGGGGGGGGAGAGAAAAAAAAAAAGAAGTCACATGTCCGGGTTATACGTATGCGAAGAGAAGCAGCAGAAGGAGGGAAAAATTGAGGCGAGCAGGAGAAGCAGCGGCGGAAGCGGTGGCGGCGCAGGAGGCGGTGGCGGCGGCGCGGCCGGGGACAGACACCCACCTGTATGAGTGCGCTTGTGGATCTTGAGGTTCTCGGAGCGCGCGAAGACCTTGCCACAGCCCGGGAAGGGGCAGGGAAAGGGCTTCTCGCCCGTGTGCACGCGGATGTGGTTGATGAGCTTGTATTTGGCCTTGAAGGGCTTGCCCTCGCGCGGACAGTCCTCCCAGAAGCAGACGTGGCTGCTCTGCTCCGGGCCGCCCACGTGCTCCACCGTGACGTGGTTCACCAGCTCGTGCATGGTGCCGAAAGTTTTGGAGCAGGGCTTGGCGCCGCCGGCCGGGGGCGGTGGCGGCGGGGGTGGCCCGGCCAGCTCGTCCGGGTCGATCCACTTGCAGATGAGCTCCTGCTTGATTGGCTGCCGCATGTAGCGCAGGAAGGCCCCGGCCGCCCCTGGGAGGTGGGGGTGGTGCTGGTGCGGGTGCGGCGCGGGCGCCGGCGGCGGCGCGTGGTGTTGCAGGTGGGGTCCGGGCCCTGCCGCCGCGGCAGCTGCCGCCGCAGCGAGGTTCAGGTTTAAGTTCACGGCTCCGTAGCCGTGCAGGGCGGCGGCTGCGGCGGCCGCCACCGCCCCGTAGTGTGCATCGCCCGAGCGCGGAGCGAAAGGTGGCTCCGCACGGCCGTAGAGCTCCGCCGCCGCCGCCGCCGCCGCCGCCGCCAGCCCCAGACGCATCTGGCCGTTGAGCGGGTGCGGGTGGCCGCCGGGAGCCCCCGGAGAGTCGTGCAGCGCGGGGAAGAGCGCCGGGCCACCGCCGCCGTCCGGGCCCGCGTAGGTGCCGCTGGCGGAGATGAACATGCCGGCCGAGTGGGGAGGCGGGGCCGGGTGCTGGGGGGAGCTAGTGCCAGACCGCTGCTCCCCTCCGAGCGGGGCCCCGTGCATGGCCGCCGCGGGGGCCGTGGCGGAGAGGTCCCTCCGGAGGACGAAGTCCCTGCTGTGGCCTTTGCCGCTGCTGCCGCCGCCGCCACTGTTGGTGGTGGTGTAGCCCGTGAGGGCAGGAGGAGGGGGAGGGGGGGGAGGGGGAAGGAGGAAGAGGAGGGGCCGGGGGCGGGGGCGCGGAGGGCCGCGCGCCACCGCTGCCCTCGCCGCCGGGGTAGGTGTCGGCGCTGGGGTGCGCGAGTGAGGCTGCGGTGCGGTCGGCGGCGGCCGGAGCCTCGGGCTGCACCGAGAGTGCCTGGGAGGGCGGGCCGAGGCTCTGCGCGCTCGCCTGGGCCATGTGCTCAGGTCCGAGCAGAGTGACGGCCACGCCGGGGTCAGCGCCCAGGTCCCGTGGGTGGAGGTGCGCGGCGGCAGCACGGAGTTGGGAGTGGGCGGGCGGGCTGGCCAGCACCGGGAAGCCTGTCATATTCTGAAGCGGTTGGGCCTGAGCCGTTGCCAAATCCGCTAATCTCAGCGCTGGCGGGGTCCTCTTGCTCAAAGGGGGCTCCATCATAACTATACAATCAGGCCCACAGACCCTCACTGGGGGGACTTTTTTCCCTCTGCCCGCCTTCAAAAACATGTATATATTAGGCTCTCTTTAACTTCTTTTGTCCTGGCCTCCTAACTCTCCTTTTCCGGTTCCCACTCTGTCCTCCAGCGATTGGCAGAGTGAACGCCACATTTGAGCTGCACAGTGGGACCGAGATTTTGGAAATGGCACGGGTGGGATTGGAGGGAGTCGCGTGATTGGCAGCAGTTTCGGCTGCCCGATTGGCTCTCGTTCAGGCCCTCGGCCCAGCGGGGAACCGCCCCCGTGCTCTCGACCGCCTGCGCTTTCACTTCGCGCCCCCTCCTCCCCTGGTGCTCTGCGTCTCCGCCTCCCCGGGGATGCCCAAGTTGCACTTGCACAAAGTTTGCGCTTGGCCTGCGCGCGCAGCACCTTGCACAGTTGATGCGCCTCGCGGAGAGTGTCAGCTAGCACGCGGTCCGAATGCGCCGGGAGCCAGGGACTGGAGAGCTCACCAGGAGTAAAGGGCGGGGAGGGTGGGAGGCCCCAAGCTCCAAAACCTTCCCTTAGTTGCATTGCTCTCAGCTCCAATTTCTACTCTCGGAGTAGAGTAATAGTACTCCGGGCTGCTTGCTGAGTGAACATCCTAGCAGTGGTAATGCCAGAAACTTCTGCCTTAGATGCCTTGGACGCCCAGTCTTCCCAGCACCCTGGGTTCAGACAGGATCTAGAAGGAGGAATCTTATTAAAGTCTACTGGTTGGAAATTTTTTTTTTTTTTTTTGTGATTGGGTCCTGCAACATATCAGGAGAAGTCAAAACAAATCCTTGTCCCAAGGATCCATCTTCCTTCGACTTTTTAGCTCATGGAGTCCCTTTCAACTTGGTTCAAAGGAATTGGCTCCAAGTGAAATCTCTCATCGGTTCTAGATCTGCCACTTCCAATTAGATCTACTGGAGGGGCGGGGCAGCAGAATACGGGGCACAAGGCTAACTGGCCATTTCTCCTAAAGGAAGCTCTTAAAAGATCAGTTACCTTTAAGCAGCATTTCTTCTTCCTACCTAGAACGCACTCCCTGCCTCAATTTCTTTGAAAGGATCACCAATTAGAGTTGACCCCCAAAATATTTTAAAACCAAGAAACAACCTATTTACTAATAGAATAACCTTTCACCTTAAACCCAGATGTATTACAAAAAAAACAAAAACAAAAAACAAAAACAGTTGTTTTTTTTTTAAAAAGCGACCCTGTCTCTTTCCATATGTTTGCTACCAAATCAGTTTTTTTTAAGGAATAGATTCCTCCATCACTCTTGGGGGGGGTCAGAAAAATGTGAGACACCCCCCCCGAAATACTTTTAGTGCCCTTAAAGTGGCATTTCAAGTTTTCAAAAGAAAACACTTAAAAGTTTGTGGTGTTCCAAAATATTCAAAGTATAGGTTTTTTTAATTTTTGCTTTTTTTCATAAAGTCATTTGTAAAACATCAATAATGAGTAGACGGTGACCCTTCCCTTCTCCCCTTTGAGGGATATGATAAAATATGTTCCCAACTCCATTTACAATCCAAGTAAAAGTAGATCCCACAAAACCCTCATGTAGTAACTGTCCTAGGAAGACATAAATATTTTGGAAGGAGTTGATTTGCTAGTGCCATTGACACTGGTATGAACAACGCTTCAGGGAGAGCTTCCCTATGAACCTTATGAATGTTATTTCTCTTGTAAAGCTGACAAGCAAACAAAGACAATAATGCTATCAGATTTTTCAAATAGATTTTTTTCTTTACATTTAAATGACATTAAAATATACAGAAATTTAAAAAGCATGAGTGGAAACAACGAAATGTTTTAAATAAGCAGCAGAGATAAAACCTATATCTGTATTTGGAAGTGACCAGTCCTTTCACAATTTTGTTTCGAAGACTTTAGACATCTTAAACCAACCACAACAGGGTCAATTGAGAACTAGGCTATCTCCACGAGTGGTTTATAAAGGAAGCATCATATTGGAAATTACCACTATTCTTAAACATTTCAAATGGGTTTTCTTTATTTGAATTTCTTGGCAATGAGTGTCCATACTTGCAGTAATGGCAGCTTTGAGTTCAATCCTGCAGGTTATAAGCAAACACAAAACCCAAAAGGAATGAATAAAGAAAGAAGAAAATAAATACAACCTAGCCCATAATATAGACTGTTGAGCATTTTTATTGTGCAATAAAATGGGCACCTCCACCCCCTTCAAAATAGCTTTTCGTCAAAATTACAACTGCTTTGTTTTATTGAATTGCTGAAATTTAATGGTTTAATGGGTGGAGGCATGAAGGAAAGGCTGTAAAAATGTGAATAATGCTACAGCAGAGCCGTGCGGAATCTGGAACCCGCCTCCTTGTACAACTCTTGTTAAACACAGCGTGATATGTATCTGTCATCGATTTAATATGTCTTAATTCAACTATAGCTCCCTGATCAATTTCTTTTTATGGAAGCCTTAAAAAAGAAAAGACTTCTTAGGAAATAACAGAGATTTGGATAGAGACTGGAAAGAGGGATATTTACAAAGTGACTGTAATGAATATTTGCAAATTTATGACCAAATCCAGACTCTAAAATGATAATTGACTCAGGTAAATCGACTTGAGATGCTAATTCTTAAAAGAAAGGACTGGGAGCAAAATTTCAATCAACACCAATAAGGCGCCAATAAACCGCCTGCCAATTAAACCTGAGAATAGGCCTAGCTAGATGGTCCTCAGGAAGGCTTGCAGTGGATTTCCGGGATTGCTTTTCTTTATAAAAGAGCTTTTTATTTTGTAGACGCGCTTTTTGTTATTGTGATGACCTGCCTGACCCCAGGTGCGCTGTTTCTTTTTCAAGCTATTTGGGAACCAAATCAAACTCCCTTAAATCCCGAGTTTCTAAGGACCCGATAACTGTCACACTTCCTAAATAAACACCAACAATTTCTAGGGCATTCAAGAAAATAATCAACTAGTTTTTAAAAGCCTCGGACTACAAACGTCGTTATCCTCTTCTGTGGACTTAGCCGACAGAACTGGTGCTTGGCATCGGGGCCAGTGCCCAAAACAGTGGTAGAGTGTGTGTGTGTGTGTGTGTGTGTGTGTGTGTGTGTGTGTGTGTGTGTGTGTGTAATGCAGCAAGCCATGGAAGTGCCCCTTTCTGGAATCAACTAGAGGGTTGGGGGAGTCCTCAATTTCCAAGTCACTCAGTTGCACCCCAGATCCAAATCTGCTCCAGCCCCAAACAAAAGACGCCAGGAGGCCGGCGAGGTGAGGAGCTCAGCCAACCTTAGCTGGCCGGGGCCCGGCCTCCCCACCGCTGCCCCGCTGCCTTTCAAGGCCACGGGACCCCATCTCCGGGGATGCTCTGGTTGCGCTCGCGGCTTCCCGCTGCGGGGAGGAAGTGCAGCGTCTCCCCAGCCCCGGGGTGCCCTGGGCTCCCCCACTGAACGGCCAACTCGCCTGCAAAGAGTGTGGGTAATTCATAGGCTCTAAGGGACGTGAATTGGACATTTCCTGGCTTTTGAGTCTTTGTTTGATTGTTTCTGCTGCAAGGGGGAGAAGGGCACTTGGGAAAGGTGGGGCCGACAAAAAAGGAGTTGGGGGGACCCGCCCGGCCGTCTTTTATTGCCCCTGAATTGCTTTACGACTCGCTGGTCCCGCGTGGTTTCGGAGAGGACGGCCTGCTGGCAGAAGAGTGAGGTGCCTGGCTGTTTTGGAACAGTCTAGTGCCCTTTGGGTTGTGTTGGAAGCGGGTTCAAGGGCGAACTGAGTACCAGCTCCCGGAGGAATAGAGAGATCTTTGAAGCTCGCCCCGAGAGCGCCCATGGGTGCTCGACGTGGACAGGGCTGGGAACTGCTAGCCCACGCGGGCAAGGCGGTGCTGGTCCTCCAGACCTCTCTGCTACAAGCCAGGAACCCCAGCCAGATAGGCAAAGGGGGCAGAGAAGCAACATTTTACCCGCTCTCTGTCAAGGCTGGAAGTGATGAGGACTTTTGAGTGCAAGAGCTTTTCTTAAATCAGGTTTTCCAGAATAGGCAGCAAGGGCTGAGCCCCTCTCTCATCTTCTCCTTCTCTTCGTCTGCACTCAGAGGGAAACAGATTCCCTTGCCCTCACCATGCGGCATCTGGATGGCTTGGGGAACGGCGCGGGTGGGGGTGGGGTGGCTGTGACTGGGCCCACAGGCCTTAGTATTACCAAGTGCTTTCTGAGTGTCTCTTTCTCTCCTCCTCAAGATCCTGTAGAAGCTTCAAGCTTTAAGGATATGTGTGGGGCTACAAGTATCCAAAAATGCACTGGCTAAAATGTACTTCTGATTCCTGTTACACACGCATTAACGTAAGGTGAATAAGGCAGATGTTATATCTCTAGTGCCATGACTAGGAAGCTGGATTCCATAGGTTTCTGTTGTGTTGTTTTGGACAATCAAGCATTGGACATGTCCTATGTCCACTTGTCCTTTATGGTAAAGAGGTGTTGAAAAATTATACTCTTATTTCTCCAGTATTAAAAGAACAAAGTGTATAAAATCAGCCTGTGGTCAAATGCTCTCATCTTAGCCTCTATCATTTTTACCCTGAGATAAAAATTGCCAGAGAAAGGCCTTTGACCTACATTTGGCCATAAGGATCGGTGATTTTTTTTAAAGAAACACATGTTCTAAAATACGTTCTGAAGGTCAGATCAATCACCACATAACTTTCATGTGTGGTCAAGGTAATATTTGTTTATATTGGCCCCAAGATTGACTGTCCCCTTTTCATCCCTTTAGGATGTTTGGAAAGAAGCAAGTACAGGCTTTTTTTTTTTTTTAAACTTCAAAAAATTTTTTTGGGGGGGATAATTTCCTTTCATTCACATCCCTTTCAATATCTATACTTCAATATTTATAGGAGCTGTGTAGATAAATCAAATACTGACATGTTGATGGATTTACTTGTGTAAGCAATATGGTTGACATATGGCATTGTTATTTATGAATGACAGCATAAATTGTATTACAAAGTCTATTGCAATAATACTGTGGTTTATTGGAAAGCTGCTGGTCTGT